ACCTATTGCATTTGTCTACGATGGCTGACGCGGCGGCTCTCATCGAGTGGTCTTGGAGCGATATGGATGTTCATCGTCTCTCAGTTCAAGCTGACCGCTCAAGCCCCAGGCGTCGCTCTCGCACGCATTTGGGCTTTCTGGAAAAAACACGCAAAGCTCAAAATGCAAAGCGCAGCCACGTAATCAATCTCCTGGTACCGTATGGTAGGCTGCGTTGAGGAGCTTCGGCGGATGCAAAAAGAACTGGTCAGTGTCTTACTGCAGCCGGTACGGAGATTGGTGTCCAATGCTCGCTTCAGGGCCAGCTTCAAGCGGCGAGTGGCCGCTAACGCCTATTACATTATGAGAAAGCACAGGATGACTCAGGATGACTCAGGATGACTCAGGATGACCTGGGTATGGGTTCAAAATTAAACCACCTAGTTTTTGACCCACAGCCACCTGTACTGGGGCTGACGGCCACAACAACCTCAGGTTCTGCGTAACGCTTCGGTATTGAAGTGTGGACTATATGCTGAGCCCCGTCGCAATCTGTCCCGAGCACTCGGATGCGCGCAAGTCAAATCTCGTCGCTGCACTGAATCAGAGGCTGCGTCGCAGCAACTCCCGAGATGCGCACACACTACACGCAACGCCAAAATGTCAAAGCTGCCACAAAGATCGATGATGAACGCTGATTCGGCATGACCCGTAAACGGAGAGGCAAACATTGGCGGAATGTCAATCTGGACAAAGAAGCAACACATGTTGAACACATCTGAGTTGGTGCGCAAGTCTCGCCGATTGCGCCTACACTAAATCGGGGTATCAAATCTTCCTTGGACAAACATGCCTCTGGAGTAGGTCCACTGCAGCACAGCCACCCGCAGATCTCCGGTTTGCCAAGGCTTTGCCAACTGGTTTACATCTTGCCAGCCATGCGACGTTTTCGGAAGCTTCCAAAAAAACTGTGCTTGCCAGATGTGCTGAGGTTTGTGGTGTCACTTGTCGCTTTCGTCGAATGCGCAAAGCCAGCCAATTGGGAGCAATTCGGCCACACCCAAGTCCAACTATTTCCATGCAGAACATGTCAAAGACGCAAACGGCCTTTTTTCCTTTCTCGGCACGCGCCGCAGCAGTTCCATTCCGAAGCTTCAAGCAAGCTCATCAGAATCCGGATTGCAGTCAGCCGCAATTTAATATGCAGCTGCCTCAAAGCGCCAGCATCCACGAGTCAACTATGCCTAGCCTGCAGTTGCCTCTATTGGCAACTGAAAAGCTCTCGCAGCCTGGTTTATGCTCTTTCCCATATCACACGTGTCCTTCGTGGTCCAATGATAGTAAGGTGGTTGTTTGATGAGAGCGAATCGAAGTCGTTGCTCCCAACGCAAGAGTGGTTGCCCACTCACCCGCGTTCGAGCCGATGGGTGCAAGGTGGCTGTGGCGCAGGCACGGTCAAGCCAGTGCTGCGCTCAGAGTGCGCTTGCGTTTCCATGTGGTATCTGTATGTCTTTGAGTCTGTGCGTGCGTCTCTTTGTGTATCCGTGTCTCTTTATGTCTGCATGTCTCTCTGCATCTGTGTTTTTGCGTGCTTGGGCGAGAGCGCGTGTGTGAGGGCGCATGTGTGCGTGTGTGTGTGGCGTGTTGTGTGGTTGTGAATTTGTGTGTTTGTGCGTTGTTTGTGGATTTGCGCTCGTGTGTTTGTGCATTTATGGTTTTGTGATTGTGTGTTTGTGTGTTTGTGTTTGTGTGTTTTGCGTTTGTGTGTTTGTGATTTTGTACTTGTGTGCTTGTGTGTGTGTTGTGTGTGCGTTTGTGCGCTTGTGCGCTTGTGCGTTTGTGCATTGCCTGTTGCGTATGTGGCTGTGTGTGTGTGCGCGTTTGGGTGTGAGTGTGTGGGTGTGGGTGTGTGTGTGTGTGTGCGTGTGTGCGGGCGTGCGTGTTTGTGCTTGTGCGTGTGCGTGTGTCTGTGTCCGTGTTTGTGTTTGTCTTTGTCTGCATCTTTGTCTCTGTCTTTATCTTTGTCTTTGCTGTTGCCTTTGCCTTTCTCTTTGTCTTTGTACTTGTGTTGCGCTTGCGTTTGTCTTTGCGCTTCTGCTTCTGCACGTGTGGTTTTTGCGTTTGCGCTTATGCGTTTGTATTGTGTTTGTGTGTTTGTGTTTGTGCGTGGTTGTTTGTAATGGTTGTTTGTGTTTGTGTGTGTGTGTCTGATTATGTTTGTGAGTGTGTACGTTGGTGTGTGTGTGTGTGTGTGCGTGCGCGCGTGTTTCTTTGTGTGTGTTTGCGCGTGTGTTTGTGTGTTTGTGTGCGTTTGTGCGTGTTTGCGCGTGTCTGTGGGCCTGCGCGTTCACGCGCATGCGTGCGTGCGCATGTGTGCGGGTGGGTGGGTCGTGCGGGTGTGTGCTGTGTGGGTGGTGTTTGTGTGCGGTGTGTGTGCTGTGTGTGTGATGCGCGTGTGGGGTGTCTGTGGCGTTTGAGTGTGTGGCGGGCGTGGTTGTGGTTGTGGGTGTGGGTGTGGGTG